TATTCGGACATTGATTACATGAAAAAAGGGCATTTAAGGTACGTATTTTTGTCGTATGTTTGCTTGGGAATGTTTAAGAATTTTGATATGAATGATTTTGGATTAGGTGATAGTCAAGTAATGTGTAATGGAAATGGTTCAGTACATGGTGAAAATAGTACAATTCATGATGGTTATTTGAGAGAACTAATTGAACACATAGCCAGTAATCCGATGGAAATCTTGAGTAAGAATCCAAGATGTGAATTTTCACGGTTTTGTGAGAAGAAATATGAGGAATTGATTCACCCGACTATGGAGTCTTCATTGTTCAGCAACTTAGATAGGAAGGAAAAGGTATTGGATTCATGGAAGTCATTGAGTGTATTCTACGAGTTGTTTGTTAGAATGGCGAGCTCTATATGGTTGCTTCATACATTGGCCTATTCGTTTGATCCGGTGGTAGAAATATTTCAGGTCGAGAGAGGTATAGATTTTTCAATGGTGTACATGGAAGATGTTTTGGGGAAATGTAGTTTCCGGGGAAAGACTAGGCCTAAGGTCGGGTTCACAGTCGTGCCGTGTTTTAAAGTTGGAAGGACTGTGATTCAATCACAGGTTTATCTCACTGGCTTAAAGGGTGAAGAGTAGTGAGATCAATATGTTCTCTATGCTTATCAAGTTATTGTTGGAGCTAATGTTGCAGTCGACTTAATCGATATGAGGACTCAAAAGAAATTAAGCAACAGTTTTGTTGGTTGCTAGGCATTGCCATTTGGTATGCTTGCTCCCTGGCTCTCTTGCAAATATTTAGCCGTAAGCTCTGTTGCGTGTGCATAATTTCTTGTTTAGAAATTTTCGTTTTCCATTTTTAGGGTTCGAGTCGATTCTTGTGTAGAGAATGTAAAAGGCGAGATTTTTCGAATTTGGGCTTCTTCCTTTGAGTGGGGGTAGGGACTAACATATATTATAGCAAATTGTATGTAACTTCTCTTATCAAATTATAGTGGTTATCTTACTTGGCTATAGAAAATTGTTCGATAACTTGCTGTTTAGTATTGTTATTATTGGCTCATCTATTTTCAATTGCTTTCGTTTTCGTTTAATTCAGTTGGTTTATGGAAGTGAAGGATGTGAATTACTGGTTATTTGCGATGTCAATGATATTGAAAGCGTGTGTAGACCTCAAATTTACAGCTGTGCATTGATATGCAGGGTTCGGATTTCATTCTATACTCTATAATCTTGTGAAATTAACATTTTTGGGCACCATCCTTTTCCATCTAAACAAGTAGGTCTTGGAGCTAAGGCTCGCCCTAAAGTCGACAGGGAGTTAGTTTTTATTGAAATCCAAAGCCAGTTAGTTATATGAGCAATATGGATGCATTCACATGAAGTTTTTCGTGCAAGTTTGTATAGAATCTGGGCTAGAAATCATAGTACTATTCTGATTCCGTTGATTTCTTCTTATTCTCCTACCTAATGGTTTAAAATTGATTAGGTCAGGTCACAATTTGGTAGGTAAACTCGTGATATTCAGTTGATCATATGCTTACTGCTTAGGGCCATACTGACTGTATTTCTTTTCAAATTGTTGGTCATCTATAGGGACTGGGATATGCCAATTCTATCTCTATGCTGTCACTTATTAAAGTTACTACTAACTGAAACTTAACTGTTCGTTAATTTAATTCGTTGAGGAAAATAACTGTTGATTACAGTCATTTATTTGTCTATAATTTGACTAAGAAAAATTTACGTGACAATCTGCCATAGTCGTTTCTTTTACTAATGATGAAAACCTTTTCTTTCCTTCCACTCGAACAGTCTGCTACATAGAATTCCGTATTGTACAATTTAAAATCAGCTGTCTTGCCATTTGAGTTCAAGGTAAAGCAGATTTTCTCTTGAATGCTTGTGGTGACGAGCAAGTGTAGAATTAGTAGTAGTTTATGATGAAGACCTCTTACTAGCAAGCAACCAAGAATTGTGTTAGCTTCTTATAATGTGGCCCCGTTTTTGAATATGTTACCATTTTCTTTGCCTTTATTTAGTGATGGCAAAGGGGTGGGTTCGGCCCGTGGCAACTTTTTGCCCCATATGTTGTCCCGTTTAATTTTTTTTTTTTTTCTTTTTTACATTTTCAAAGTTTCGAATTATGTTATTATTAGAGAATAAAATACAAATTTAAAATGAGTTTTTAACGGATGAATTGTTTGGAAATAAAATTATTTTTAATTTTATTTTTTTTTTACTTTTTCTTCATGGGGCGGGTTCGAGGCAGGGCATTCACGCCCCGCCCTGCGACGGGGGAGACCATTTACGCGGCGCGGCGCGGCGGGGCGGGTTTTTTTGCCCCACCCCGGGGGACAGAACCGACGTGACGGGGTAAATTGTCATCACTACCTTTATCTGTTGGTTGGTTTGCTAACAATGGAGTAATTATTCATGGGATATTCTATTTCCAAGAAACCTGTATGATGATCTATTTCTTTGTTCAGAGATCAGAAATGGTGGTTTATGACTCCTGATGCAAGGCTAAGCAACTCAAGTTATGATAATATGAAGATGAAAAGGTCAGGCTCATGGACAAGTTTTAGGTTTTAAGCCTTTTGTGGGGCTTATAAACTAGTTTGACAGCTTATAAGTACTTTTTTAAATAAACAAGAAATAACAAATTTATCTTTCAAAAATTTGGGGTATGCTACATGAATCAATTTTCGCAATTCTCTTATGTTTATTGATAAATTTAAAGTTAATGATTTTTTAGCAAATATCATTTGTATCGAGTTTGGCCTAGTGTTCTCTCACAAACTTACTTTATTGAAATCATGGTACTTTTACTACCGAAATCATCTTTAAGTCTACGTAATATATGACTGGACTTGTTCTCACCCTAAGACATACATAAATATAGACACGTACACGTACGTATACATAAAAAATTATCTATAGGTGCCGTGGGAGAAGATGGAAATGAAAGTTGGCCAATCATCAAAATTCTGTAACAAATCTTCAAAATTTTCCACAAATTCTCCCTTCCTTTCAAGGCCAAGACCTAAAAAAATAAAAATAAAAATCGTTTAGTGGCTAATTTGCAAATATAAAACAAAAGATTGAAAACGTTTGTCGGCTAGTGGCTGTTTACCCTACAGACCTAAAATTTTGTCCAAGAATCCGTTATTGTATTTTTATTTTTTGGAGAAGTACTTCAAGATATTGCCCCAGTTTGAGCTCCTTTCTTTCCACAAAAATATATTTTTAAACAGTATTTTGACATTATTTTTCAATAAAACAATATTACACATAAATTCAAATTTTTTTTTATTTTTTAACTACACATTTTTCATCAGTACACTATTCCAAAATTCATTTTTCCTCTAAAATGAGGCTCAAACAAGAGCATTATATTCAGCTCTCATATAACATTTATCATAATTACAAGAGTCCTAGATTTGACATCTATTTGAGACAAATACTTTAAAATTTATTTTCAATCACATACTCTTTCTGTAAATTAATTATACACGTGGATTTGTAGCCTTTTATTATTTTTTTACTTTTTAGCCACACATTATCGAAAAAATTATTTTTCACAAAATTTAATTTTGAAAATTCTACATCAAATAGGTCCTTGAAGTCCAATGCCTCGTGCTCACAATTGCAATAAAAATGAAAAGAAAATCTTCATGACAACAATTTCCAGATATTTGTGACTTGGATAATTATATTCACATTACATACTTTGTCAATCACATCAAATTTCAATTGCAACAAAGTTTTTAAAGTTTTGCTTATTTTCGCACTTATGTTATCAACTTTTCCTTATATTTTTGTTATTAACTTTCAATTAATTACCGCATCTTATTTTTCTGATGATTTTTCTCAAAATATTGTGTTAACGTACATTAAAATAAGGGACAAATGTTTTGTCAATTTTTCACTTGTTTAAAATTCGAGAGACAAATAATTATTTTTACGCTCAATTAACAAATTTTTTGAATGAAATTAGAATGTGAAAATTAAGAATATGACGGAAAAAATAGGGATATATAAGTATAAAAATGGGTAAAAATTAAGAACCTTCATAGCAATTACCTTGTGCTTTATATATAAACTTTAGTCACGCTTATACTCATTTTATAAGAAGACCGGATTAGACTTGCGGTTTCACAATAAAACCGAGAATGGAGCTGAGAATTGGTCTGGACTTTGTAACATGACAAAAGCAATTCTGGCTTGACTTATGATCTATAATTTTTTTGGTACTACGATATAAACATATTTTAAATGTAGAGGTGTCAAGATAGTTCTAATCATTTAATTTCGGGATGACTCACTCACCCATTGAATATCTTCTCGACTCGTTTCAATCCAATTCACAAGTTGAACGACCATAATGAACGGGCTGAGCTGGGTTTGATTGTCGTCAACAATCTATAAGGATAGACCCACTTGGGCTGGTTATTAAAAAACCAAAAAACTTAAAATAAATATGATTTTTTGTTTTTTCAAAAAGTCAGTTTTTTGGCAATAAATACTGATTTGTCTTCTCATTTTTTAACATAATCTATCACATATCTGGCAATTTTTATTTTTTTAATTATGACATAATTCAAATCACATTAGATTTTCAAAAAATAATAAAAATGATTGGTAGGATTGGCTTCGGTCAATAATATTGATGGGTTCATGAACTTGTATGATCATCAATTTTGGAAGAAAGCCTGTATTTAATTCGAATCATATTTTTATATGGACCAATTCAAATTCACAAGAAAATGTAGTTAAGTCGGTCCAACTCGACCCATTCATCTTGACACATTTACTAGAATGATTAGAAATGGAGAATGGTATGTTTGATCCCCATTAAATTATATTTCATTACATTCTATTTTTCTCTCTTCTATTTTCAACCACACAATCTTTCATAAAATAATATTACACGTAAATCGAAAATTTTTCTTTCTTTTTCAACTACTCATTTTTTCAACAAAACACTATTCCCCCCATTTTCATTACCAAAAATGGAGGCCAAACAGGGGTATAAGTTTCAAACTTTCATGGTCGGTAAGTAGCATGTGGACGGCATGGGGATTACAGAAAAGCTGAAAATGGGAAAATGAATTGGCCCTCCTGGTTTCTGGCTTCATACACTTCGATGAAAATTCAAATTTCCAAATTCTTCAAATAAACGCAGTATTTCAGAGTTTCCCGCAACTCAATGACACCACTTTGAACAACGTTATTCACCAAATTTTGACTTTGATTATCATTTAAGAAAGCAGGTGATCTGATATTGGCTTGTGTTTGATTAGCTAATAGGAAAATTGTTGAAATGAAAATAATATTTCTCCGTAAGTCACAAACCATGAGATTTTACTCCACCAGCAGCAAACGAGTTAATTAATCCAATGGACTATGTTTTTAATTGCTTATTCAAATTTAAGATGTC